ATGTTCTTCCGACGTCTGATTTCTTTTTAAAAAATGCGTTTCTAAAGTGCATAAACTTTTGGGATTGACTGTATAGCCAATACATCCTTAAAACTGTTCCTCCACCCTTCGATATTTCTAAATTCTCGTACGTTAACACAGAAATACGATGAGCTGCGTGTACAAAGATCCCTGCTCCTGTAAATTCATGGAAATTGAGATTGTACAATTTCGTTACCGATCGATTATAAATGCGCATTCGATGAGCGATTAACTTGGCTGGCCATTACGCGCGCGAATTATAATACAGTTTGCATGAAGGTTCGAAATTTATATCATTACAAACAGGATTGTTGTACGAATCGGGCATGATAATATTAATACAGTAATCTCGTGGCGATACGAGTCGCTCAAATTTGTAATGCATCTCGTTTACGACGCGAACTCTCTCGAGTGCAGATTCAAAGTATTGTTCATTTCACATGACGATTAATCATTAGATGCAGAATATAATTTACTTAAATGGCAATTATCCTAATGGCCACTAAAGGAAATGCGGATTTTCATGTGAATTCAATAAAAATTCAGGTTCCCTTTGCGTGCTGTTACTTTGATATTCTGCCAGTGATATGCACTCTCGATATTTCCTCCACTTGCAATTTCTGCACAAAATCCACAGTCTGTTCGTTGGTATATTAACTATTGTAGCAAGTATTGTGCCAATTAGACGAAAAGTTGTATTAAATATTAGGAGAGTTGTTACACGAAATATTGTATTAATTTTTCTTCTGACGATGCAAATGGGTTAATAACAGTTTCAGCAATTAAGGCAGGCGAAAGTAGGCCCCCGCCCGTTCCCGCTCTAATGAATTTCGTGAATGGGGCTTCTATTTGGCGCCGGGGTTTCGAGTGTTGGACGGGCGAAAAGCGTTTTCCTCGGGAAGCTGCTGCTCGGAAACTTTGTCAGTCTCCTCGAGAGGCTTAAACTCGCGGCAAGCATTCGAGGACGATGCATTGTCTCCTCGACGATCTCTTCTGACTCCCGTCCCCCTCCCGTTCCGTTTCCGCCGACGACGATCGTCCGGGAGAAGAAGCACCAGCTTTTCTCCGTTCCCGCGAGTCGACGGTTTCGCGCCTCTTGGCACGTTTCACGCGTAATCCAGATCCTCGTGCCGAAGTGTTCTGGCCCCCAGAACCCACCCTTTATGCTCCCTTTTCATCGCCCACGCCACCCGAACCTCTTTATTTGGAGGGCTGAAGAACACCGGGAATCGTGCTCGATTTCACCCCGATCGCCTACTATTTTCTCGTTCTTTCTTCACCTCAATTCGTACAATCGGCCCTCTCCAATATTAATCCCCTGAGCCCTCTTCACGAATATCTTCAAGAAATTATCGTCACGTTTGACAAAAACTAAAATTCCCATCTTGTCATCTCATCGTTGGAGAATTAAAAATATCTAAAATTCTCTATTCATTTTTTAATACGATAATCGATTTCGTTAATTCATCCAAGAATCGATAACGTTTCACGCTTTGACAAAAAAACAACGGCTGTGATTAAAGGGTTTTAACGATGGGTCGTAAATCTCCACGGAGGCATTCAGAAATTGTTCGCTGTATGATGTTTCAGACGTTTCGGCGTTTATCATCCCCAAACAATCTAGATAGGCGTGTTAACAATGTCCCCGAACGACGGTCGGGTGTTAATTGCATAGCCGCTTTAGCGCGGAATACGCATACCGGGCCCCGGATACTCGAGTCTTTGTCGTCGTCCCTTATGACCCTGTGTACGTACATCTTTGTGTGCACCACCGGCCATTATCGATCAACAATTTGCCGCGTACGCGAATTTGTACCGACAACGGCAAACACGAATACCCGAGCGATGTCCAATCCAACGGGCACGATTGTATTTTTTCCAAAACGAAACATTCATTTATTCACAATCGCACGTATCTTCAATTTCTGCCACGTTTCATTTCGCAGGTGAATCCAAAATTACATGAATGGTTCACGTGCAACCAGATTTCTAATTATGCAATATAAAACATTTAAAAAAGAAAAACTCATTACATGAAAATCACCCGTGGAATTTAAACATTAAAACATGCGTTCAATTTTTAATATTTGCGCAGATTTACACATATTACATGCAACGTTTTAATCCAATATCTTCTTAAGTTCGTCGAACCGATGAATTAACTTCGCCCGTTTATCGTCATCGAACATTAGTGCGTTTTTACTGCGTTAAGAGCGTTCGAGAAAATCAGTGCTCGATACAAATTCGCTATCGCGGGCTCATCAATGAGATACACGGCTGACGACGTTGTAACCACACTCGGCTACGCACGCA